AAAAAAAAATGTTGATCTGCTGGTTACAAGATATTGTTACCCCAATTTTTAGTCATCACTAATAATTACTGGCACCATGACCTAGTACACTGTATAAACCAGAGACCTTCCACTGAGTACCTCTGACTCCGCCTTCTAACCTCTCTCCATACATATACCACCCAAGACATATTTGTTTGGTTTGTATTATTTTGGCCCTCAAAATGTTATTTTTTAAAAAGATAAATGGATGAGTGGGAACAGGGAGGAAAGGGATGGGGAGAAGGGATTGAAATTGATTTAGATATGTTAAATACATGTACCATCTTCTCCAAATAAACTTCATCATCATGTAATAGTAAGGTGTATCAATAAGATACAATTCTTTAAACTTTATAAAAAAAGAATTGATCACTAACATTACATAAAATTGATTTTATAAGACAACATTGAGTTCCCTGTTCCTCTTACGAATCAAATTTGGCAACACTGTACCCACATTTCTAAATAACTTTAATCAGGCAGAGGTGAGCAGTAGCCATTCCAATTAGAAGCAGCTAGGAAGGTCCATTTCTTCATGACCCACACTTCTCTCTCTTCCCTTATCCTAGCTTGATTCATTCCTCCACAGATGCATGAGCTTAACATCCCTGTTACATCAGCAATGTATTATTTACTAAGAAGGCATCAACTTTTGCAAAACCTCATAAATATCAACACACTTTCTTTTTCTTTTTTAATTTAGATATTTGGTACAGGGTCTTGTTATGCAGCTCAGACTTGTAGTGATCCTCCTGTTTCTGTCTCCCCAGTGCTGGGATTACAGGCATGTACCACATGCAGGTTTCACTGGCTGGCTCAGCGGGCCCGGGTCAGGGCTGGCATAACATGTAGTACCAGGGATTGAACCTGGTCCCTGAAAAAAAATCAAAAAATCCTTGTGCTTGCCAGGCAGGCCTTACACTGCTGAGTTATGTTCCTGGCCCAACATACTATCTTAAGAAAAGGCTTGAATCACAGTTATCAAACTGAAAACTTTGCATCATTTTAGATATGTCCCAGGTATGTGTCCTCCTATGGAAAATCATTCGTTAACAATGTCATAGGGGAGAGAGAATTTATCTTAACATAAAATAGAGCAGTCTCCTTGGGTGATTTCCAGAAAAAGTGAAGATTAATGTACTATTGAGCCTTCTGTATGATCCTCAAAGCCCCTTGACACCTCATGACTTTTGTCTTAGACAAGAGACCTGCAGCAATCACATCTTGATGTCACTGTACACATGGTGCTTGAAGAACAGGATTGATATTGTCCTATGATACAGAGAAGAAACCAAGGAGAAATGCTGACTGAAATTGGCAACATGTGTTCTCCATCTCCCAGAACTGTTTTGAAATTCTACTGCCTTCTACATTTTGAGAAATTTGTGCAGTTCCATGTCTCTACAATATTAAGAAATAAAATAAGAGCTTACCTAGTACTAAGATAGGTTTCAGAAAGGATAAGTAGAGTCTTTACCACACTAATTACTGACTCTGCCAGTACCTTTCATCTTCATAGGACCCACAGGTAATAATCAGCCCAGGACTCGCTGCCTAAAATTAGGCACCTGCAAAATTGCTAGACCAACTCTGCACTAGGAGACAGTTGAAAGAGGCAGACCTGGAAAGACTGTCCTGATACACCAAAGAAGTGGAAGAGCATCCATATAGTTGTGTCCTTGATTGGGTTTGTTTGTTTGAACAATCTTGCCCAGCTCTAGAGATGTGCTTTGCCCAAGGTACAAAGACAAAATTCAATGGTGACAGGAGAATCTATTCAACGCACAGTGCTGAGGCAACTGGATGTCCATATGCATAAAATATGGACTTCAATACACACCTTTTCATAAAAATTAACCCCAAATGGATCATACACCTAATTGTAAAATGTAAAACTATAGAACTTCTAGGAAAAAAAAAACTTTGGAGAAAATATCTATGGCTCTGAACCTAGTGATGCTTTTAATGGAAATTATTTTTAGTTTGTTTGGTG